GGGGGGAGCCTAGTAAACATAATGTTCTTCATGTAATTGTAGATTAATGATACCAAAAAAAATGTATTTATGGTAACATACATACATATATAACTTTAAAGAAATCTGAATCAAGCATTTGTAGGCCCCCTTAGCCTACTGGAGTTCTGCTGTTGAAGAGCCTCACCTTTCCCCTCTCAGGAGACTGCTCACTGGGCATGTGCCCGTGTAGCCACTCAGTCACCGCTTACTGAGTGTGTCCCGTGTACCTGACTGAACTTTCCAGGCAGGCATCTGTTCTGATGAGGGCTGCAGGGCTAGTCGGGGAGAGGTGTGGTCAGCCACAGGGCACTCCGCCTCGGCCTGCTGTTCCTTGAGTGGTTTCTGGGACCCTCTGGCCATGTGGGCGATTCTCTTCCTAGTCACTGATGCGGCTATTGGGACTGATTGTGGCAAATAAGAAAAAGGGGACAGAAAGTAAGAGAATGGCTGGCCTAGAAAGGTGTTAATTTGAAAAGGTTCCTTGAAGGCGGTGAATCCTGAATTCAGGGGCTGGAAGAAGGGACGTTGTCATTTGGAATAGGGAGGTCCAGACAGGGACCAAGGAAGGTGACACTGTATCTTGGTGAGTTTTAAGAGTTCTTTTCTCTTCAAAGAGAATATTTCTTTCTTTCTTTTTTTCTCCCTTTTGTTCTTTGTTGTATTCTCTTACAGTGGTTACGTTCTGCACCCCTGAAACTGTGTCCTTTCACTTAACTTCATCAGAGGCATCTCATTCTATTAATCTTTGCAAAGGAGCAGCTTTGGGCTTTCTGATCCTTTCTGTTAGAGAATTATTTTGTCTTTGAATTTGTACTTATCTTAGTTTTTCCTTCCTTCAGTTTTTTCAGGCTTTCCTCTACTGTTCTTTCTCTAATGTAGCCAGTTAATTTTCAGGTCTTTTTTTCTAATATAAGCATTTTAAGGCTGTACATTTTCCTTCACAATTTGACTTGCATCCTGTTTTTTCACTTCACATATTTTCAATGGTCTTTTATGATTTCTTCTGTAAAGGAGGAGTTACTTAGAAATGTGCATTTTCGTTTCCATACACTAGTTTTTAAATATCATAAGTTAGTTTCATAATATTCGAGTGGCTCAAAATATATAAATTATAGAATTATAATACTTAATAATGCTGTAAATGTCCATAAAGTCACTACAAAACCCAAGAAATAGCATATTCCCCACAATTCCCATTTGCCTGCTTATTTCTCCCCATCTCATCCCGTCTCCCCCTGCCCACCCTGCCAACCGCTGACCTTCATGTCAGGACTGAGTTGAACAATAAGCTTCTTTTCACCCTTGGTGCGATGACAAAGGTCTGGTTGTGGGAGGCCAAGGGAGAGGAAGTCGACTATTCTAGAAAAAGAGTTTCAATGTACAATTCTACACATACAGATCTTAGCTAAGAACTTTTCTCTTTGGACCAAGATCTCTAAATTCTTACAGTAATTTCCACTGCCTTTCCCCTCCCTGAGGGTAAGATTTTCAGAAGAACCCGTCTCCAGCAAAAGGCACACACGCACCAGATATGTGTGGTGTCAGGTGATTTTCTGAGGCCTTCTCCGGACTTCTGTCAAATCTGTGGTTCTCACCCAGGGGTGACCCTGCACCCCCGGGGGACACTGGCAATGTCTGCAGACATTTTTGGTCATCACCAATGGCTGTTGTGCCATTGGCATCTAGCGGGTAGAGCCCAGGGTTGCTGCTAAACACCCTAAACAGCATGGAACAGCCCCTTAGCATGGACAGTTGTCCAGTCCAGAGTGTCAGTAGCACCAAGGTTGAGACCCTGCTCTAAACTGATGCAATGTCCCTAGTTTTGCTATGCAGTACACACTGGTGGCACTTTTTCTTTGTCTCTGATTACTTTTCAGATTGAGAATGGGCTGTGCATCTGTGCAGCCATGCCCAGCAAAGTTGTCGTTCTCCGCTACAATGAAAACCTCAGCAAGTACTGCATTCGGAAGGTAAGCCCCGGACCTCCCTGTCCCGCTCCTGGGCAGGCTGGGGTGGGAAGTGTACTCTCCGTGAGCAGCCCGTGCCGGGTCCCTCACCCTGCAGTCTTTCAGCCCGGGTGACCTTAGGGAGAGACCTGCCTTTCCTGGAGAAAGGTTCAGAACTGGCAGCTACAGTTTTCCCCCTCATTCCTTCTGCTTGTGAGCTGCCCCTCCAGGCAGCCTGGTGAACTCAGCCTTTTGTTAAGGGAGAAGGGAAGCTAAGCTGACTGATAGAGGAGACATTTCTTTTGAATCCACCAGATAAAAGGAAGGAGGTTTCTATGAGAACTTAGTAGCCCCTGGTAGCACTTACCAGTATCTCTCTCAGATCTTGGAAGTTTCTGTTAATAACCTTTGGAAAAGCAGGAGCTAGCTGTATTTCAGTATGTAATTCAGGAGCTGGTTCTCCCTGGAGCAGAGTGAGTAGTGATGACGACCGCATTTGGTGAAGGGGGGAGCCTAGTAAACATAATGTTCTTCATGTAATTGTAGATTAATGATACCAAAAAAAATGTATTTATGGTAACATACATACATATATAACTTTAAAGAAATCTGAATCAAGCATTTGTAGGCCCCCTTAGCCTACTGGAGTTCTGCTGTTGAAGAGCCTCACCTTTCCCCTCTCAGGAGACTGCTCACTGGGCATGTGCCCGTGTAGCCACTCAGTCACCGCTTACTGAGTGTGTCCCGTGTACCTGACTGAGCTTTCCAGGCAGGCATCTGTTCTGATGAGGGCTGCAGGGCTAGTGGGGGAGAGGTGTGGTCAGCCACAGGGCACTCCGCCTCGGCCTGCTGTTCCTTGAGTGGTTTCTGGGACCCTCTGGCCATGTGGGCGATTCTCTTCCTAGTCACTGATGCGGCTATTGGGACTGATTGTGGCAAATAAGAAAAAGGGGACAGAAAGTAAGAGAATGGCTGGCCTAGAAAGGTGTTAATTTGAAAAGGTTCCTTGAAGGCGGTGAATCCTGAATTTAGGGGCTGGAAGAAGGGACGTTGTCATTTGGAATAGGGAGGTCCAGACAGGGACCAAGGAAGGTGACACTGTATCTTGGTGAGTTTTAAGAGTTCTTTTCTCTTCAAAGAGAATATTTCTTTCTTTCTTTTTTTCTCCCTTTTGTTCTTTGTTGTATTCTCTTACAGTGGTTACGTTCTGCACCCCTGAAACTGTGTCCTTTCACTTAACTTCATCAGAGGCATCTCATTCTATTAATCTTTGCAAAGGAGCAGCTTTGGGCTTTCTGATCCTTTCTGTTAGAGAATTATTTTGTCTTTGAATTTGTACTTATCTTAGTTTTTCCTTCCTTCAGTTTTTTCAGGCTTTCCTCTACTGTTCTTTCTCTAATGTAGCCAGTTAATTTTCAGGTCTTTTTTTTCTAATATAAGCATTTTAAGGCTGTACATTTTCCTTCACAATTTGACTTGCATCCTGTTTTTTCACTTCACATATTTTCAATGGTCTTTTATGATTTCTTCTGTAAAGGAGGAGTTACTTAGAAATGTGCATTTTCGTTTCCATACACTAGTTTTTAAATATCATAAGTTAGTTTCATAATATTCGAGTGGCTCAAAATATATAAATTATAGAATTATAATACTTAATAATGCTGTAAATGTCCATAAAGTCACTACAAAACCCAAGAAATAGCATATTCCCCACAATTCCCATTTGCCTGCTTATTTCTCCCCATCTCATCCCGTCTCCCCCTGCCCACCCTGCCAACCGCTGACCTTCATGTCAGGACTGAGTTGAACAATAAGCTTCTTTTCACCCTTGGTGCGATGACAAAGGTCTGGTTGTGGGAGGCCAAGGGAGAGGAAGTCGACTATTCTAGAAAAAGAGTTTCAATGTACAATTCTACACATACAGATCTTAGCTAAGAACTTTTCTCTTTGGACCAAGATCTCTAAATTCTTACAGTAATTTCCACTGCCTTTCCCCTCCCTGAGGGTAAGATTTTCAGAAGAACCCGTCTCCAGCAAAAGGCACACACGCACCAGATATGTGTGGTGTCAGGTGATTTTCTGAGGCCTTCTCCGGACTTCTGTCAAATCTGTGGTTCTCACCCAGGGGTGACCCTGCACCCCCGGGGGACACTGGCAATGTCTGCAGACATTTTTGGTCATCACCAATGGCTGTTGTGCCATTGGCATCTAGCGGGTAGAGCCCAGGGTTGCTGCTAAACACCCTAAACAGCATGGAACAGCCCCTTAGCATGGACAGTTGTCCAGTCCAGAGTGTCAGTAGCACCAAGGTTGAGACCCTGCTCTAAACTGATGCAATGTCCCTAGTTTTGCTATGCAGTACACACTGGTGGCACTTTTTCTTTGTCTCTGATTACTTTTCAGATTGAGAATGGGCTGTGCATCTGTGCAGCCATGCCCAGCAAAGTTGTCGTTCTCCGCTACAATGAAAACCTCAGCAAGTACTGCATTCGGAAGGTAAGCCCCGGACCTCCCTGTCCCGCTCCTGGGCAGGCTGGGGTGGGAAGTGTACTCTCCGTGAGCAGCCCGTGCTGGGTCCCTCACCCTGCAGTCTTTCAGCCTGGGTGACCTTAGGGAGAAACCTGCCTTTCCTGGAGAAAGGTTCAGAACTGGCAGCTACAGTTTTCCCCCTCATTCCTTCCTCTTGTGAGCTGCCCCTTCAGGCAGCCTGGTGAACTCAGCCTTTTGTTAAGGGAGAAGGGAAGCTAAGCTGACTGATAGAGGAGACATTTCTTTTGAATCCACCAGATAAAAGGAAGGAGGTTTCTCTGAGAACTTAGTAGCCCCTGGTAGCACTTACCAGTATCTCTCTCAGATCTTGGAAGTTTCTGTTAATAACCTTTGGAAAAGCAGGAGCTAGCTGTATTTCAGTATGTAATTCAGGAGCTGGTTCTCCCTGGAGCAGAGTGAGTAGTGATGACGACCGCAGCAGGGACAAGGTGCCCCACAGACCGACCGCCTTGCTTCTGCAGGCCGACTGTTGTCCCTAGACTAAGGACGTTCCACCCATCACCAGCCTAATTTATTTCAGTTGCTTCCATGATTCGTCTCAAAAGTGAAGTAAGGGGTGACTTGTGAGGATCGTTGTGCATTAGAGAAATGCTTCTCCTGGGTGGGCTGTTAGTTTAGTTTATTTTTATTGAGCACCTATTGGTACCAGAGACTGAGCTGGTTATTTTATGGACACTTTTTCCAATGGCTCTGGAAAGCAGGGATGCTAACCCCCAATTTTCAGGTAAGAATACCAAGGTTAGGACAGATCCTGTTATTACAAAAAGACCCAAACTGAAGTGTGATTTTTTTTTCCTACCATTTCATCATCATGCTGCCTTGAAGTTTCCTCATGCTCAGTAGGTGATTGGCAAATTCTGAGTGATGGTGGTAATACTGATTGAAGTTTGAACTGTCCACTTGAGGAAAATTCTCAGAAATCACTGCTGCTTTGTCATTGTTGACGGCCCTTTTGAATAAGCGTGCCTCACTTCTTGATGACATTAGGGCTGGCCTGAAAGCAAGGGGAAGTAATTAGGAAGCAGATAACCTAGCTGATGATAATAAATATATAAGTCATTCAGGTTCAGAGGAGAAACTTAGACGTTCACAGAAAGAAGGAAACGAAAACCACTCCCTCTAGCCAGCTAAGAATATTATGTTTTTGAAGCTCTCTCTTTGAATGCTGTGTTTGCATCGAAATGGTATTTCTGACCCTTTTTGGGCTGCAGTTTGATCTCAGTTTCCCAGTCTGGGTTGTAAAGGACCCAGAGGTAGTAAAGGGCGCTGCCCACAAGGCCTGGCTAGAGAGGCGGCCGAGGCGGAAGCGGGATGGCGGTGGCAGTGTGGCTGCCCGGCACCTACCCTCGTGGCCTTTTCTTCTGCTCTGCCTTAGGAGATAGAGACCTCGGAGCCCTGCAGCTGCATCCACTTCACCAATTACAGTATCCTCATCGGAACCAATAAATTCTACGAAATCGACATGAAGCAGTACACGCTGGAGGGTAGGGCCCTCCCCAGGCTCCCTCTCCCCAGCCCGCACCCTGCACCGGCCCGCTGCCAACTCGAGCTCATTCCTGAAGCCCCGCTTCTCGCCTGCCTTTCCAGAATTCCTCGATAAGAACGACCATTCCTTGGCGCCTGCTGTGTTCGCCTCCTCTTCCAACAGCTTCCCTGTGTCGGTCGTGCAGGTGAACGGTGCAGGGCAGCGGGAGGAGTACCTGCTCTGCTTCCACGGTGAGTCGGGGCTTGCCACCTGCTGCTCCTCTGAGTTCTCGTGGGCACCAGGGGCCCAGACTGGGTCCGCTCGGGGCTGGCGGTGGCCAGTGATGGTCTGGGCAAGGCAGGTCCTGCGCAGAGTACAAACAACATCCTTCCAGTACCACCGAGGTCCCCTGTGGGTCCCCCACCCCCCGCCAGGGGACTAGCTGGCCCAGCTCTCTCATGTTCTTTCCAAAGAGCAGGCACATGCTTCCCACTCTGTCCCTCACCTCTCTCTCTCCTTTCCTTTCCATTTTTTTCTCCCTTGATTTTTTAATCTGTGGGTCTTTCTGTGTCTTCCTTTCTGTCTCTGGGCCTCTTGTTTCACCCCCTTCCTCCACATCCCTCTGCCCCATCCCTGACCCTCCCTCCTGCCTCCTGCCCCTTCTTTTCCTGTCTCCCCCTCTTTCTTTAATGAATCACAGGGATGTGGCTCAGCAGAGGCCCTTAGGTTTTAGTGATCCAGTAGATCCGGCTGGTGGTCCCCGGGCTTGATTCCTTACTCTTCTGTCAAAGTGTGTATCGTTGATACCCCTGCTTCTGGCTATGCTGATGCCCCTGGCCTCTGACTCCTTGCAGAATTTGGGGTGTTCGTGGATTCTTATGGAAGACGTAGCCGCACAGATGATCTCAAGTGGAGTCGCTTACCTTTGGCGTTTGGTAAGTGAGGCAGGCAATGGAGGGCTCTTTTCTGTCAGCAGCCAGTGTCGTGGGAAAGAGTTGCAGGTTGAATCCTTCTTGGCTCAGGCCCTGTGCTTGCCTTTTCCATTACACACCAGGCACCATGTGTGGTAGTCACCTGAGTAAGTGTTCAAGGCAAAGATTCTGGGGCTTGATGAAGGACCGTGTAAGCCAAATCCACTAGCCTTGTGGAGCATTTGTTAGGTTCTCATGATGGAAAGGAGAACATTTCCTGTGAGTTTATATAAGTCATTTCAAAGGCAGTAGAGTATCGTGGGGCATGGCCGAACACCTGTCAGTTGGATTTGTTCTAACAAGCAGAGCTCTTAGGTCATGCCCCTTCTTTTTGTAAGTGTAAACAATGCTGTGGTGAACATCTTGTCTAATCTTTGCACACTTGTCAAATAGGATCTCCTGCTCATAAGTCCTAAATATGGAGCTGCTGTGTCAAAGCATAAATATACATATACATGAACACACACTGTAAATATGGATACATGTCTCTGTTAATGTTCTGAAATACCATTATGGCTGAAATACCCTTCAAGGCTATTTGGTTTATCTATTGCTGCCTAACAAGTTCGAAAACTTAAAGACCTTAAACAACAGCAGTTTATCATTGCCCCAAATTCTGTGGCTTGGCTGGGCAGTTCTGCTTCCTGTGGCACCCGCAGGGATACTGGGACAACCAGAAAGTCCAAAACAGCCTCACAAAGTGGCAGGCATTTGGTGGGAGCTCAGCGGCGCTGCTAGAGGCCTCAGTTCCTCCCCACTGGGCTCCTTCCAAGAGTGTGGGCAGAGCTGGCAGGCTTTCTTGCTAGTACCACATTCTGTTGGTTAAAGCAGGCCATAGGGTCAGCCCAGGCTCAGAGCAAGGGGACTGTGAAGTCTAATACCAAAGTAATAGTTTACCACAGGAATGATAATCTCCTTTTCTCTTTAAGACAGTAAACAGCTCACATCATATCCTACAGTTCCAGTGTATAAGAGATACAGTATTAAGACCAGAAATATCTAATTATCTATGAACCCAGTCCTTTTTTTAAATCTAATTTTTTTGAAAGTATATACAATTAAATGGCATAAAAAGCTATACAGTGAAAAGTTGTACACATATTACTGGCATCCCAAGTTCTCCTTCCCCACTTCCCCAAGAGGGAAAAAACTTTTATGAGTTTCTTATCCTTCCAGTGCTTTATGCAAATACAGACAGATAAATATTCTCCCCAACCTTTTTTTTTTTTTTTAATCAGTATGGTAGCACACTTTACTCAGTATTCTAAACTTTGCTTTATGCACTAAGGAAAACTATGTACCTCGGATTTTTCTCAATCAGTAGAGAGCTTTTTCATGCATTTTTACAGCTGTGCACAGAATTCCGGAGATGTACCATAATTGAAATGATGCCCTGTAATGTACTCTTGAGTTGGTTCCCATCTTCTGCTCTAACAACATGGCAGTGAATAAACGTGAACATGCCTCTTTATGTTGGCACATGATGTATGCATAGGATAAGTTCCTTTAGGTGGGATTGCTGAGTCTAAGGTTGCATTGCAGCCAAATTTTGGTATCTCTCTTTTAACCCCTCCTTGCCCCCGTTCTTCCTCCATGGTGGCCACGCAGCCTACAGAGAACCCTATTTGTTTGTGACCCACTTCAACTCTCTCGAAGTAATCGAGATCCAGGCACGCTCCTCTCTGGGGTGAGTATGGCCCTTTTAAGCTCTGAAACTTTGGTTGTTGGGTCAGGCGTCGGGGCTGGGAGTGTGTTTCTTCCTGTCCTACCTAGCAGTGGAGATACACTGAGCATACACTCTCTTCTGGAACTCTGCAGGACTCCTGCCCGAGCGTATTTGGAAATCCCCAACCCACGCTACCTGGGTCCTGCAATTTCCTCAGGAGCGATTTACCTGGCATCCTCATACCAGGATAAATTAAGGGTCATTTGCTGCAAAGGAAACCTTGTGAAGGAGTCTGGCACTGACCACCACCGGGGCCCCTCCACCTCCCGCAGGTACCGTACCCCTCTTCCTTGGTACAGGGGCTAGAGTGCTTTTCTGCAAAGCAGAAGGAAATCTAGCTAAACTGCTTGAAGGTTTCCCAGTCTTCAAGCTCAAGCCATTCATTTCTTTGAGATCTACAGCACTGAAATGACACAGTCCTTTAAGTATCAGGGGAATTTTTAAATGCCCTCTTTTATGAGGTAGAAGGAAATGTCTGGTCTTTCTCTGGGGCCCTGGAATGGATCCCACATAATGCATCCATTGCTTTGGCTGGCACTGCCATGCTAATGCTAGTTGGGCTCGTGGCAGGAGGTCCAGTGGTGAATAAGCCAGACACAGCCCCTCCCTGGTGTAGCCCAGTAGGAGAGACGCTAGCAAGGAGGCGATGACAGCGCAGCTGAGAAGGCTGTGACTCAGGCTGGGGTAGTTTAAGGTACTTGGAGCTCAGGAGGGCCCCAGGCCGGGGCTGGGAGAGCAGATCCTGCTGCCCTCCGTCTGTTGTTTGTTTGTTTAGTGACTTCCCAGGACTAATTCTGCCAAGTCTGTTTGTTTAGTGGTCTGTGAATGATTGGACAGAGATGTCCTTAAATGCATTGAGCCAATATGTCTCCCGCCCTTTGCTGAGGGGCTGTGTGTGTTGGGGGGCATGTCTTCAGCACTCGGTGTCAGCTGGAGGCCTTGTGGTTTTTGCTGGGCATGTGCACAGCCTTGCCTGTGTGTGGCCTTTTAGATCCCTAGCATTACGCGGGACCATTTCAAAGCCCCGGGTAGACATGCCCCGATTTTCCTTTTGAGTGTTCTGGCCAGCTTCTTGTTTCCCGTAAGTGGTTTCACTGCCTCAGGTATTTATCATGTTAATAAGCCATTGCTGCTGATGGTTGCTGATAAACATCTGGGGATAGGACTTTTCTCATGAGTAAGCTCTGAGTCCCGTCACATGAAAATAAGCCCTGAGAACCGTCTTCCAAGAAGCAGCCAGACAGGTCAGCCAATGGTGACCTTCTGGGGCTGGGGCTCTGGGGGTGCTTCGGTCCTGATCTCCAGTGGCTGCCAGGCGGCTGGTTCTCAGCTACTGTGGTAAGGGCTGTCGACAGGTTCAAAACTACTGCAGATCTGGGAACACGGGGGTGGGAATAAGTCAAGTTAACAGGTCATAAAAGTAGTTGTTCTTAATGAGATTCGCTATTTTTCTTGCATAAATGCTCTTTGAATTGCTCTAAGTCTTTGGTTAATTTCCAGAGTTCTGAAAAGTCGGTTTTGACTGTTGGTGCCGGTGTTCTTGTTTTCTTTTTGGAGGAACAGGTTTCTGGAGGTCCTTACCTTACCATTCTGGAGGTACTCTTCCCCTTCCCTTTCATACAGGTGATACCACACAGGGCTTACTCTTCTGTACCTTAGTGTATCTTGGAGAATGCTCCCTGTCCGTATAAGATGGATTTCTTCATTTTTTTTTTAATGCCTACACAGCATTCCTTCACATGACCTTAATTTATTTAACTGCTCCTTTATCGCTGGGTGTTGGGGTTGTCTTCAGTCTGTTGCTGTAGTACACGCTTCTGTGCATATGCCATTTTGCATACTTAGTGATCAATCTGTAGGATAAATTCCTAGAAAAGAAATTGATGGGCAACACTGGATGTGGCTTCTGATTTTGACATATTGCTGAGTTTTCCCCCCTGGAGGCTGTACCCATGGTATAAGCCCACCAGCACCATGTGGAGTAGGCCTGGCCTTGTCCTGACACAGAGGGCGAGGAGCCAGTCCAGCTCCATGTGTGGGTTTGAAATCTGTTCTTGGGCCGCAAAAAAGGTGTGAGATTATTTAACCCAGGGGAATATTGAATTGACCTATGCTTTAAATTTTCTGGACTGGTCTTCAAACCCAAGTCTGCCCTATTTGTGGAGTTACATGGACCCCCTGTCGTGTGCCGGACACACAGTCTGGGGCTGAGGATACCCAGATGAAGAAGACACTGGTTTTATTCTCAAGGGATTCATAATCATCTCCAAATGATCTCTAATATTAAAAAATGCTTAGATCTTGGGAAAGGTCTCATCAATTTAAATTCCTGAAACTGTAACCTAATGAATAGTCCTTTCATTTGTTGACATGAGTTAGTGTGAAATGTTTGGTCAGTGTGATTTGAATCCCAGGAACTTGATGGAAAACCAGAAGTGCCAAATAACCAGATATTCATAGTTTTTTTTGGCTTCACTCTGCCTCAAGAGTGACTGCTCAAAGGCTAAAGTCTTCCCCTAAAAAAGTCTAGATTTTCTGTAACTGGTTTCCAAGTCATGCCAAGAACAAATCGAAGTACTGTAATTAGATTTTTTTTCCCCCCATTGCCTCACTAATAGATGGCCAAGCACCTTTCTTTTGAGCCTATGTGGTGTCTCTGTAAGGAGTTGCTTATTCTGTGGTTGAAAATGGTTCCAGTTCCTGTGAACAAGGAGCAGAAATTGCTGTTGCTTTCCCGCTGTTGCCAGGAACGTCTGGGAAATCAGCAGTTAGTCTTTAGTTGTCTCTTGGCTTGTAAAAAGGTCTTTTTGATGCTGACTGCTTTGGGCAGGTCAGAATGCAGAAGGCCATCTTGGCCAAGAGTGTGATTCACTGCAGGCTTCCTTGCTCTGGCTGTTTAGCAGAGCAGGATATGTAACTCTTTGCAAAAAAAACATAAAATCGGGCATGGTAGATCATTGGCCATTAATGGCTCTGGAGAGGGAAGATTGCCCACTCAGCCTAGAATGATGGGTGTTTTCTTACATCCTGTTCATCTCAGCAGACACCCCAAAGGGCCTTCTCCAGCCATCTTTCTTCCCCTAGGCAGTGAGCTCCTTCTCACTTGCTTTATGATGGGCTCCCACGGACACATTTTATAATTTCTCTTCCATTACAAGTAGGCTTAATGTAGTTCTGTTGCTTAGAATTAATTTTTTTATTTGTCTTCCATATCGTGAAGCCACATGACTAGAGATAAATATAAACCTGACTTCAAGAGGTTGAAATCTTAGTTATCTCAATTTTTACTGCTGTACACACAACCTCGGGGCTTTCTGGCTTTCTGAGATGTTACCTGGAATCCTTACAGTTAGAGTTGCACAGGAAAGCAAGACAATGTCGTGGAACTGACCACTTATAAAATGGTCCCTGCTCACCAACCTCTGTTTCACTGTAGAGCAGGAATAGGCGCTTTTTTTTTTTTCTGTAAAGGTCCAGACAGTAAATATTTTCGGCTTCGTGGGCCGTATGATCTATGCCTCAATTACCCAACTCTGTTGTTACAGGGTGAAAGCAGCCATGGACAGTGTATAACCAGATGGCATGGCTGTGTTCCAGTAAAACTTCATAAAAACAGGCATCTGTCTGGATTTGGCCCTCAAGCTCGCTGTAGAGTTTCTCCTCCAGCGGGGCAGGGTCCTGCTGAAGAGCTGCTTTCAATTATGGCTACTGACAAAAGACTCTAGCAGACCATTAATGGGAGAAAAAATCAACAAGTTTGGCCCCTTCTGAAGAGAAGGATTTAACTATCAAGGGTAAAGATAGGCCTTTGGGAAAACTAGTGACACTTTGAAATACTTTTGAAGAAACACCTTTACGATTTTATTGCAGAACTCCAACACTGATGTAAAGGATGTCAGCTAGTATGTTAGCATACAATTTTGTTGAGAAAATTAGAGCAAAGTAGTTTGTGACTTAGAATCAGCATGTAATTCCCATTTTAATTTAGATTTTTTAAATATCTAGGATAAAATTAATTTACATTCCTGATTTCTACTTTTATTTCCCCAGATAGAGCCCTGATCAAAACGCCTTCAAGTAATATTCTTTTTTTTATTTGTTTTCTAGTATGTTAGCATACAATTTTGTTGAGAAAATTAGAGCAAAGTAGTTTGTGACTTAGAATCAGCATGTAATTCCCATTTTAATTTAGATTTTTTAAATATCTAGGATAAAATTAATTTACATTCCTGATTTCTACTTTTATTTCCCCAGATAGAGCCCTAATCAAAACGCCTTCAAGTAATATTCTTTTTTTTATTTGTTTGGTTTTTTTTTGTTTTTGTTTTTGGTGGCTTTATTCATAACAGAGAAAAAACAAATGCCCAACAATAGGAAAATGGATAAAGAAATGGTAGTATATGCATATAGAGGAACACTACTCAGCAAAAATATTTTTAAAAAAATGAACTGCTACATGCAACAATATGGGCAAGTTTCATCATTATAAGGGGTTAAACCAGAAATAAAGGAGAACACAGTGCATGACTGCATTTTCTGAAGTTCAAGATCAGGAAAAAATAATCTATAATATACTAGAAATCAGAACATTGATTGCCTGTGACCGGGGTTGGGGAAGTTGTTGATTAACTAGAAGGAAGTACAAGAGAACTTTCTGGAGGGTGGAAATGTTTGGTATCTCCATTGAAATGTTGGCTAGAGGGGTGGATACGTTTATGAAAAATCACTAAGTTGTATGTTTAAGATTTCAAGTAATATTCTCTACAAAACATTCCCACTTTAAGTAGGTTGTCTTTTCTCAGCACTAATTATGCTCCAATGATGAGGACCCATGTACTTTTTTGCTCATCAGGGTGGGAAGGAATTGACTCAGAAGGCCACATTTCAGTTCTCTCTGTATTTCTGGATCTTACTTCTCCAGAGGGGTGGTTAAGGGCCATGTCTGTAGAAATCTTTTGAAATATCCAGGCCAAGGCTGGGTGGAGAGTTGGGGTTTGGAAAGTTGGGGTTGATTTGCAAGCTCCTCTGATCTTCTCAGGTATAACTGGACACCTGCTACCCCTATGCAGGTGAGAGGGCAGGGAGAGATAGCAAAAGAGGTGGTCCACCCCAGATTGGTGGGAAGCAGGTTTAATAAGCAAGGGAACTTATGAGGCCTGTCTTGGTGGCTACAGGATGAGTAGATCTCTGCACCCATCTGCCAAAGCTTAGAAGTTCATGTAGAGGCCTTAACTGGACTCAGTCTCCCACACAGTCCAGGTGGTCTCAACATCACATCACTCTCTCAAGGCTGTGTCCACTTGGGGCAGCTTCTAGGAGCAGGGAAGGCAAGTAGAATCCACATTTCAAGGACAGACAGGGGGATGATGAGGAGCCTTCCATTGCTGGGGTCCTGCTCATGTTCAGCTGGTGGTCACATCTTCTCGATGACCTTCCTTAGCAATTGGATTGGTTGTGCAAAAAGGCCCTGGTGTTTTTCAATTTTTTGGTTATTAACCATCAACCTTTGGGGTCAGGGACATTTTTTGACCCAACTACTGTTTTTGTCTGCCTTGCTCAGTTTCCTAATTATATCAGACCTGATCCCTGCACCCCCTGCATCAGTACTGGGTGCCACAGAGACTCTTGGAAGACCACCTAGAAGGAGAAGTGATCAAATACTAGGCCCAGGAGTGGGACAGATAAGGCAGCTGACAGGAGTACAGGCTTTCTCAAAGTGCTCCCTTGCATTGAGGGCTTTTAGCAGGCTTAACCCCTAAATGAAGACATCCTTCTGTGCCTTCTAGGTTCTTGGGAATACCGAGGTCGATAGGATACAGTATGGGGATGATGATGTCAAGCTGACCTGTATTTAGAACCCTCGCTTGGCAGCTCCCTAGCTTAGGCCAGTCACCCTGCTTCTGTGTCTCCATTTTCTTGTCTGTATGAAGGTAATGCTTGTTCCTAGCTTGTACACAGAGCTGTTGTGATGATTTAATGAATCAAAGCACGTAAAGAGCTTAGCACAGGGCCCAGCACACAGTGGGTGCTCAGTGTGTGAGCCTGCACTGAGACCGGGGAGCCTGATTTTCTTCTGGTGTCATCTTTGCTTGCTTTTCCTGTACTCACTGCCATAGGAAAACAAACAAAAAGCCTGACCTCCAGGTGCGGTCTTTTTGTGATCACCAGTGGTAACACTGGAGTGGGGGGGTTGCTCAGATGAGGAGGAAAATGCCCCCTGTGGGGCTGTGCCTGCTCGGCTGCCCACCTTCCTCTCCTGTTGCCAGCAGCCCCAACAAGCGAGGCCCACCAACGTACAACGAGCACATCACCAAGCGTGTGGCCTCCAGCCCGGCGCCCCCGGAAGGGCCCAGCCACCCTCGAGAGCCAAGCACACCGCACCGCTACCGCGAGGGGCGGACGGAGCTGCGCAGGGACAAGTCCCCCGGCCGCCCCCTGGAGCGGGAGAAGTCCCCGGGCCGGATGCTCAGCACGCGGAGGGAGCGGTCCCCTGGGAGGCTGTTTGAGGACAGCAGCCGGGGCCGGCTGCCTGTAGGAGCTGTGAGGACCCCCCTGTCCCAGGTCAACAAGGTAAGGCACCATCCTGAGGCCAGTGACCTGAGGAGCTGGGTTCTCCTTCTGTTGTAAAAAAGGGACTCTGTTACTGTAATTCAGATTTTGTGCGACATTAACAAGTTTAGGAAGAAAACACTTGATTTAAGAGGCTTCCTAAGCAAATGGATAATGTGTTTATGTGTCCCTCGAAATGTCATAGCTACCAAAGGGTGCAGCATTCCTTCCCCAGAGGCAGCCAGCATTAGCAGCTTCTAGAGATATCCTGTGCATGCAAGCAAATATGTACATGTAGGCTTTCTTCTCAAGTGCCAATAACATACTAACACTATGCAAAACGTTTCATGCCTTACTTCTTTCAGGCGTATATACAGATACATTTACATGTACATCAAGAATTCTCCTGGAACACTACAGAGGCTGGTAACAGTGGTTGCCTTCTAGAACTTTTAAGTCTTTTGAAATTTTTAAATTGTGTGCATGTAATATCTGTGTAATTTTTAGGTTAGTGAATAAGGAGATGGAAAGATGTGTTGAAGACAAGGGGCACCCCTGAACAGGAGGGCTGGAGGGCAGGGTACCTCCTCGGCAGGCTAGCTGGTACCAGGGGACCCTCTGGACAACAGAGCCACCTTTCTGTCACTGGGGGCTGGTTTTCTGGATTGCATTCTTTTCAGGCCATCTGCACTTCACTGTTGGCACCCTTGCAACTAAAGAGAGGCAGGAAATCCATCTAAACATTTCTTCTTATCCCCTCTGGTGTACTGATGAAACAGTATATGTGTGACAGTGGAAATACATACATCCCGTTGTGAATTTTCAGTGAATTCCATTTCCGACGGACCCCGAGCATGGAGGGTCGGCTCTGCTAGCTGGTGCTGCCATGCAGAGACCTCACTGTTCATGGCTGAGAGGGCAGCACATGCATGTGCCATGAACGTCCAGCAATTTCTGGCCTCTGACTAAAACCCCCTCCTTCTCATTTTGCTCCTAGGTCTGGGACCAGTCTTCAGTATAAATCTCAGCCAGAAAAACCAACTCCTCATCTTAATCTGCAGGAAAATACCAAACACACTCTGGAACTCTGCTGAAGGGGACCCCAGCGCCCATCTGCTCAGCCACTCCTGGCACACCGGGACCAGGACCCGGACCCACCTCAGCACGGACACCCTGCATCCAGGAGGTGCAGGAGCTGAAGCCCCTGGGAGCTGTCGGCACCTTCCTGCAGTCATCCTCTTTGCACTTTGTTACTCTTTCAAAGCATTCATAAACTTTTGTACCTAGCTCTAGCCTGTACCAGTTCATCAAAGAGACCAACCAGGCACTAACTACAACTACAGGTGGTTAGAATCCTAATAGCTACTTTAAGATCTTAGGGTTGGTTGGTTTTCCTTTTGTTTTTTTTCCTTTCCTTTCTTTTTTTTTTTTTAAAGACAGCAGAATTCTTAGTAGATTTGAATAGCAATGTATTTCCTGTTGTAGTCATTTTTAGCTAGATCATACCATCAGGTCTTTGCTACTGAAATGTATTGTAGAAGAGTCCCTGCCAGTTGGCTAGCCTCCCACACCAATGTAGGTTCATTCTCGTTCTAGCCCATCCTCACAGATGGCCCTGTTTTACCCAGGGTGACATCCTAGCCAAATGTTTACTGTTATCATTGCCTTTTATGGCCTTGACGACTTCCCCTCCCACCAGCTGAGAATGTACGGAGGTCATCAGGCCTCAGCTCGGAGGCCGTGACTTGGGGCCAAGGGACCTCGAGGAGCTTTCCCTCCCCGCCCCTCAGCGTCATCTTCCCAGCTTGCTGTCCCCGCCTTCCATGTAGCTTTGGTCAGGAAAGCATGCAATAGACTTGCTCTGAGCCCAGCATTCGTGGGTGTCTGGTGGTATGGACCTCCTGTCCATGACGGTATGTGGTTCCCACCCTAGGAAGGGAAGGGACCCGTCTGGGAGTTCTGCATGGCAGCTCGCTGCATGTGCCGCCCCAACCTGGCTGCTCTGCCAATGTACCAGTACCATACCATAGCTCCCGCCGAACCGAGACCCTCTGACCACTTGCCAGCTCACTGGCCACAAGCTGCAGTCTGTAGCACTGAACAAACAAAAAACCAAACGCTCAAGCCTTACGACCAGAGAAGGATTTCAGCAAACCACCACCTCACACTTTCATGCTTCCCTGCCAGCTCCCTTGAGGATGACTCTGCGTTCACACAAAATCCAGCACAGTTCTACCCCCAGGAAACTGTGATTTCCCACATGAGCCTTTCCCTAGGGCTAGACTAAGACCACAAAGTTTGAGAAGGAAGCTGCAGCTCAACGCCTCCACCTCTGCTGGGGCTGGGAAGTCCTCCCGAGGGGCGGTGCGGCTCCCACAGCTTGTCTCTGCCCTGTCAGAGTGTGAAATTCCTGGCCACTGGCAAAGAACCAACCTGGAGGCTCTGCAGTTGGCAAGCTGACTAGCGGCCTTATTTCTGCCTTTAATCTCCCGCAAGGTATTGCTTGTTTCGGATTCTCCATGACCTTTAGGCATGCCTTGAACAATCAAGGCTCATCCTAGGTAGGCTGAAAGGTGGACCTGCTGCCATGGCAGCAGGTGAACATGACCATGTTTCAACCCTTGTGTCCACAGTTCAGATCATTTTCCAGCCGCAACCTGGCCCAAATCCTGGCTCCTTCCTGCTCGTCTCTTAACCTAAGTGCTTTCTTGTTTGAGATGCCGACGACCTTCTGTTTGTGTTGTCGCAACTTTGGCAAGTGTCATGCTTTCATGTTTTATGTGTTGCTTGGAGTCTTTGGGGTCATACTGCATCTTTGCCCTCCCCCAGAGCACATCTGACAATTTTTGCTGAAGTTTTTGTCTCTTGGTCCACAAGTATTTGGAAAGGTTACTAAAGGTTGCTCTCTTAGTCTTGGCATTTCATGTAGGATCTCCATGAGAAATGGGCTTCCTGGGCCCTGAAAGTGTATATTGTAGGTTCATTCTCGTTCTAGCCCATCCTCACAGATGGCCCTGTTTTACCCAGGGTGACATCCTAGCCAAATGTTTACTGTTATCATTGCCTTTTATGGCCTTGACGACTTCCCCTCCCACCAGCTGAGAATGTACGGAGGTCATCAGGCCTCAGCTCGGAGGCCGTGACTTGGGGCCAAGGGACCTCGAGGAGCTTTCCCTCCCCGCCCCTCAGCGTCATCTTCCCAGCTTGCTGTCCCCGCCTTCCATGTAGCTTTGGTCAGGAAAGCATGCAATAGACTTGCTCTGAGCCCAGCATTCGTGGGTGTCTGGTGGTATGGACCTCCTGTCCATGACGGTATGTGGTTCCCACCCTAGGAAGGGAAGGGACCCGTCTGGGAGTTCTGCATGGCAGCTCGCTGCATGTGCCGCCCCAACCTGGCTGCTCTGCCAATGTACCAGTACCATACCATAGCTCCCGCCGAACCGAGACCCTCTGACCACTTGCCAGCTCACTGGCCACAAGCTGCAGTCTGTAGCACTGAACAAACAAAAAACCAAACGCTCAAGCCTTACGACCAGAGAAGGATTTCAGCAAACCACCACCTCACACTTTCATGCTTCCCTGCCAGCTCCCTTGAGGATGACTCTGCGTTCACACAAAATCCAGCACAGTTCTACCCCCAGGAAACTGTGATTTCCCACATGAGCCTTTCCCTAGGGCTAGACTAAGACCACAAAGTTTGAGAAGGAAGCTGCAGCTCAACGCCTCCACCTCTGCTGGGGCTGGGAAGTCCTCCCGAGGGGCGGTGCGGCTCCCACAGCTTGTCTCTGCCCTGTCAGAGTGTGAAATTCCTGGCCACTGGCAAAGAACCAACCTGGAGGCTCTGCAGTTGGCAAGCTGACTAGCGGCCTTATTTCTGCCTTTAATCTCCCGCAAGGTATTGCTTGTTTCGGATTCTCCATGACCTTTAGGCATGCCTTGAACAATCAAGGCTCATCCTAGGTAGGCTGAAAGGTGGACCTGCTGCCATGGCAGCAGGTGAACATGACCATGTTTCAACCCTTGTGTCCACAGTTCAGATCATTTTCCAGCCGCAACCTGGCCCAAATCCTGGCTCCTTCCTGCTCGTCTCTTAACCTAAGTGCTTTCTTGTTTGAGATGCCGACGACCTTCTGTTTGTGTTGTCGCAACTTTGGCAAGTGTCATGCTTTCATGTTTTATGTGTTGCTTGGAGTCTTTGGGGTCATACTGCATCTTTGCCCTCCCCCAGAGCACATCTGACAATTTTTGCTGAAGTTTTTGTCTCTTGGTCCACAAGTATTTGGAAAGGTTACTAAAGGTTGCTCTCTTAGTCTTGGCATTTCATGTAGGATCTCCATGAGAAATGGGCTTCCTGGGCCCTGAAAGTGTATATTGTGTGTCTCATTTGTGAAATGCTTCCTGCTATAGAACTAGTTCAAAAAACTGTACATATTTACAAGAAACTTTATATTCGTAAAAAAAAAAAGGAAATTGAATTGGTTTCTACTTTTTTATTGTAAAAGGTGCATTTTTCAACACTTACTTTTGGTTTCAACGGTGGTAGTTGTGGACAGCCATCTTCATTGGAGGGTGGGGAGCTCCGTGTGACCACCAAGATGCCAGCAGGAAATATTGTAACACAAAATTGCAGTCAAAAGCTTATTAGCATAAGTAAGAGTCTAGGTCTCCAGAAGTACAGGCTTTTTCTTCATTACCTTTTTTATTCAGAACAAAGGAAAAAGAACACAAGGAACAATTCAAGAAATCAAGATCCACCTTGAGAGGAATGAACTTTGTTGTTGAACAATAGTGAAATAAAGCGATGATCTAAAATGTTTGCTTTAGTGCAATGAACTCTTTCTTTTCTTGAGACATAAAAATATTAAGTATTACCAGTGTCAGCACAGGCTTCTTATTGTGGCCTGGGACCCACCGTGCTTCCAGGGGAGGCCTTTTCTCTGGGTGAAGGAAGCCGCACAGGTTAAGAGTACATTACTCTCCTCGAAGCAGAAATTGGCGACAACCTCTTCCAACAGTGTGACGTTGTTGAAGTTTGGTCATTATTTCCAGTAAACAATGAACTGGCTATTAAGGTCACTTTACAGGACTGCAGAACTGGAAAGTTCCTTACTCAGTCAAACAGGCCATTTTGAAAAGATTACTTGAGAATGGATTAGTGAGTTCTCCTATAATGGAGCTACCCAAGAAAACAGGTCACCTTAAATTTCTCTCATCCATTATAAGACCACAGGGAATTTAATGATGTAGATTTCCTTGGAGGGAGGAATTCAGACCAAGGTAATTTAAAATGTAGATACTTCTGTTTTTTACTAGATGAATTTTTACAGTCGGCAAGTGAAATTTTTTTCTATGATTTTTTTAGTTTGTGTAAGCTTTGCTTGATCCAGACAAACACTGATTTTGGCAAATGGTGATTTTTTTTTTTCATGGTTCCTGTTGCTTTTAGTCCTCGTATTTTATTTTCCGGTGGAGTAATCTGACCGCAGTCAACATCTGACTTGCAGGATCATGTCTGATACAGCCTGTGACAGGAACCATCGCTGCAATTCTGTCCCTCCTTTCTGTTTTACTGTTGAGGATAAAGATCTGTCAAAGGTCCTAACTGTGAGGAAAATAATTCAAAGGATGAACAAGTAAATGTGGGCAGCTTTCTTCCTGATAATATTAGAAAAAGTCTGTTAAATACCAACCGTTTCAGTTACTGTTCTGAGGATTCCTAGCAGCCGCAAAATACTTAAGAAGCATAAGGAAACATGGTTTGGCTCCACAAAGAATGCACCGGGGTCTTTCTGACTCCAAATAATGACTTCAAAGAAGCAGCCCACACAGGGCAGCCACAGCGTTAAATAAGCCCAGCCTGCCTTGGTGCCGCCACTCCTGTTTCTCAAGCACAAAATGAGATGTTAACGTTTTCTGCACTTACAACTAAATTTTCATGAGACTAAAAACCACTGATGGCATAGCCAATTTCATAACCATGAAACTAGGATTTGGAAACTTTGGCCAAAAGAGAGAATTTCCTTAACAGGACTGAATAGTTAGTCTGTTGTCAGATTTGGGCTTCTTGAATGTCATCTGCTTTAGAAAACATGCCAGTTTAAGGTTGGGTAGGCCTACAGGGATGAGCCAGCTAAGCTTTCATCCCTGTAACAGTTAAATAGGCTGTTCCAGTGGTTCTAAACTAGGGGCAACTTTGCTCCCCTTCCCTGAGGACATTTGACAATGTCTGGAGACGTTTTCAGTTGGGTTGGGGGTGGGGGAAGTACTACCGACATTAGTGGGTAGAGGTCAGACATGCTGTGAAATGTTCTACAGTGTGTACAGGGTGCCCCCTCACCCACACACCCCACAGTCATTAGGCCCAAAGTGTCAACAGTGCCAAGGGTGAGATACCTTGGCTTGTTCTAGTCAGATTTCTTTCTGGGCAGGTTACAATATCGCTTGTGATGTCTGAAGCATGGACTCTGTGGCTCCAGGCACGCAGTGTTTATATGAGAAGAACATTTCATCACTTGCCTATTCATATGTTGAAGCTTTATTTTCTTGACGCTGGGGAGGATGGGGGTAGTGGAAACAGTACAATGTTGATCACTTGGCTTCCCTTCAGTCTATCAATGATTAATGGAACTGTTTGCCCCGAAGGGGTTGTTAGAGGTGGAGGAAAGAACTTTGAAAATGACTTTATTACTATACACAACTCAGGCTGTCTTTCAGAGAACGACAAAAAGGAAAAATAGAGGTGACCCACGGTACATACAACTGGAGCCGTCTCCTATGTTCTCAACTGCTGCTGAATTTTCCGGATGAGATGGGTAAATTCAACCCAGAAAAGGGGCAGTGAGGGCTGGCAGCCTCATTCAGGTAAAGGCCCTTAAGTTGTATATAGAACCAAAAAGGTGAGGTAGGAGGTGGGTCCAAGCATAGGAAGAGCCTGAACCCACCTCCTTTCACATATACACTGAATCTACACCTACACACAGAAGGCAAGACAAGCATCAGAGAAGAATGACAAAAACCAGAAAACATTTAACAAAATGGCAATACGTATGTTACTATCGATTTGAGTGTAAATAGACTAAATGCTCCAATCAAAAGACATAGGTTGACTGAATGGATAAAAAAACAAGACCCATCTTTATACTGCCTATAAGAGACTCACTTCAGACCTCAAGACACACACAGACTGAAACTGAAAGGATAGAAAAAAATATTCCATGCAAATAGAAATGAGAAAAAAAAAGAGTAGCAGCACTTAGACAAAATAAAGATAATAACAAGAGACAAAGAACATATAATGAGAAAGGGTTCGATCCAGCAAGAAGACAGAACAATTGTAAATACGCACCCAACAGAAGAGCACCTGAATGTATTAACAGACATAAAGGGGGAAACAGGTAGTAATAGCGTAACAGTAGGGGATTCTCACACCCCCACTTACATCAATAGTTAGATCAATCAGACAGAAAATCAATACAGAAACAGTGGCTTTGAATGACACCTATGACACATTAGACAAAATAGATTTAATAGACATATACAGGACATTACATCCAAAAAACAGCAGAATACATATTTTCAAGTACACATATTTTCAAGTATCTCCAGAATAGAACAAATATTAGTCCATAAAACAAGTCTCAATAAACTTAAGAAGAATGAAATCATACCAAGTATTTCCAACCACAATGGTTATGAAACTGTAAATCAATTACAAGGAAAAAAACTGGAAAAAACAAACACCTGGAGACTAAACAGCATACTGCTCAATAACCAGTGGGTCAATGAAGAAATCAAAGAGGAAATTAAAAAAAATACTTGTAGAATAATGAAAATAGAAGCAATGGTTCAAAATCTTTGGGATGCAGCAAAAGCAGTTCTAAAAGGGAAGTTTATAGTGATATAGGACTGCTTCAAGAAACAAGAAAAATCTCAATCTAAACCTACACCTAAAATAAATAGAAAAAAGAAGAACAAACAAAGCCCAGAGTTAATAGAAGGAAAGAAATAATAAAGATCAGAGTGGAAATAAATGAAATTGAGACTAAAGAAAAAAACAATACAAAAGATCAAAGAAACTAAGTGCTGGGTCTTAGAAAAGATAAACAAAATTGATAAACCTGTGGTTAGGCTCACGAAGAAAAAAGAGGACTCAAAACCAGAAATGAAAGAGAAGTTACAACTGACACCATAGAAAAAGAAATGATTAAAAGAGATCACTGTGAAAAATATGCCAACAATTTGGACAACCTAGAAGAAATGGATAAATTCCTAGAAACATGCAATTTTCCAAGACTGAGCCAGGAAGCAATTAAGAAATCTGAACAGACCAGTAACTAGTGATGAAATTGAATCAGTAATAAAAAACTCCCAACAAACCAAAGTCCAGAACCAGATGGCTTTACAGGAGAATTATACCGAACATTTAAAGAAGAGTTAGTGCCCATCCTTCTCAAGCTATTCCAAAAAATTGAAGAGGAAGAAAAGCTTCAAAATTCATTCTAAGGTCAGCATCACCTTGATACCAAGAAAAGAAAATTACAGACCAATATTCCTAATGAATATAGATACAAAAATCCTCCACAAAGTATTAAACCAATTTCAAAAATACATTCAAAGGATCATTTACCACAATCAAGTAGGATTTGCTCCAGGGATGCAAGGATGGTGCAGTATATGCAAATCAATCAATGTGATATCCACATTCACAAAAGGAAAGACAAATACCCTATGATCATCTCAACAGATGCTGAAAAAACATTTAGCAAAATTCAATATCCATTCATGATAAAAACTCTTAACTAAATGGGTATATAGAAGGAACATATCTCAACACAATAAGGGTCATATATGACAAACTCACAGCTAACATCATACTCAAGAGTTAAAAGCTGAAAGATTTTCCTCTAAGATCAGAAACAAGAAAAAGATGCCCACTTTCACTACTTTTATTCAACATAGTACTGGAAGTACATCAGTCAGACAAGAAAAATAAATAGAAGGCGTCCAAATTGTTAAGGAAGAAGTAAAATTGTCACTTGCAGATGACATACTATATACAGAAAACCCTGAAGACTCCACCAAAAAATTATTAGAATAAATGAATTCGGCAAAGTTGCATGATACAAAATCAATATACAGAAATTTATTGCATTTCTATTTACAAATAACAAACTAGCAGACAGGAATATTAAGAAAACAATCCCATTTGCAATTGCATGGAAAAGAATAAAATAACCTGGGAATAAATCTAGCCAAGGAGGTCAAGGACCTGTACTTTGAAAACCATCAATATGAAAGAAATGAAAGATATTCCATGCTTATAGATAAGAAGAATATTGTTAAAATGGCCATACTATCCAAAGCAATCTGCAAATTTAAGGCAATAGTTATTAAAATACCAATGGCATTTTTCACAGAACTAGGGTAAATAAAAAATCTTAAAATTTGTATGGAACCAGAAAAGACCCCAAATAGCCAAGGCAATCTTGAGAAAGAACAAGGTGGGGGTACTGCTCTCCCTGGTTTCAAAGTATACTACAAAGCTATAGTAATTAAAACAGTATGGTACCAGCACAAAAACAAATACATAGATCAATGAAACAGAATAGGGAGCCCAGAAATAAACTTATATGGTCAATATGACAAAGGAGTCAAGAATATGCAATGAGGAAAAGACAGTCAGTCTTTTCAATAAATGGGGTTGGGAAAACTGAACAGCTACATGCAAAAGAATGAAACTGGTCACTGTCTTATACCATATACAAAAATAAACTCAAAATAGATTAGACCTAAATATAAGACCTGAAACTATAAAAT